TAAATGACGAACAATTAGGTGTCTATTTACTTGTGACCACTCAGTGTACGTACAAAATATAAACACACGCATGAAATGTTTCAGATTTAAATTGCATTACCTAAATAACTTAATTTTTCTAATGTGTTTATAATTATGCTATAACTACAAAATTGAAAGAAATGCCTTTGGTAATTTATAGCTTCGGGAATTTTGCGAATGACCAAAATATAACGAAAGGACATTTCGACTGATTCACTAGATTTCCTGCTAGTATTAACAAGCATGATTCTGCAAATAATGTGGATTATGATCCTTTAGCTTAAGTTTCGTGCATTTCATAAGTTAAGTTGATAAAAAATAACACAGGAATACCTTAAGCAACATACAACTAAGTTCAAGCGATTGATTGTTTGGGCTGTAACCATACAACTTTTTATGTTATATATAGTCTCTAGTTGAGTCATAATTCTAGACCTGCAAACTTTTATTGCTGAACGTAAAATAATATCGATATGCTTTTATTCAGTTTTCAAAATTGAGCTTCATGAAACAATAACTTTTAAAGGAAAGCTCTATCATTCTTAATATGCAGGTATTTTTAGTATTTGGTTTTCGTTCATATAAATTCCTTTAATGAAATAAATCTAACATTTCGACAAAGATATAAAATGTGTTGAATTTTACTGTTTAGTGTCACATTTTGCACGCTGCTAATGATGATAAACATACAATTAAATCTCATTTTTGAGAGTTCAAATCCTAACTGAAGAAATATGAAGCAAACATTTTACTAGCTTAACTGGTATGCATCCATGTGAATTACGACTCTAATATTTGTTATTTTCGAATATAAGATCAAGAAATGTATTTGAAATGGTAATGAAAATGAATTCCCGAAGCACTTACCTGATCAAATAGTAATATATCTTATCGGGAATCTTCTACTGAATGAGATAAAAATGTTTACATTTATTTTAAAATTTTATTTGTCTTTCTTTGAACGATTGAATATAGTACGTCATACACATCAAATAACATCTCGTTCTATAAAACTGAAGTACTCGTATTTTAATTTTATTTTAAAAATATTCTGGCCATCACAAAGATTCTAAGTCTGAAAAAAAAAAACAATTTTCCAAAGTACATGGATCAAACAAGGTTTTTCTTTCTTTCATTTAAAGTTCTGTCAATGCCATATTAAACAACCCTGTTGTTTCGAAAAATAACGTATTATTATGTACTAATTACTAAGATATTAAAAGTTAGTACGAGTATGAAACTATGAAGATGCTATTTGGTAGCAAGAACATCAGTTATTTAAAAAAACTCACCAAACAGGTTTAGCGAGCGCAAAGTATAAGTTAAATTCGCATAAAGATTTAACTCTGTAGTTGTTAGTATGATTTTGTGCTTATGTAACTCAACTATACAGAGATCTTTCTGAAATTATTATTGTGATAAAAGCAAGTGTAGAACATATTTTCTATGACAACCTTATTAGAACCAACCTATTGTACATGAGAACGTCTGGTCTCCATATCTTGTAAGCGGCTAGCCGAATATCTTTGATATTGTTGTAATCAACCGGGTTCCAGCGAAGATTCACATCCACCCACTCCTAACAGAACAAGAGATTACAATGAATATTATTCAGTAATATTTACAGTAGGAAAAGATAAAAACTATGTTTTATTTTATTCATACACTTACCAGTCTCTAGCCTTAGAATGATGAAAACAAATTGGCAAATTAAAAGGTGCATCTGTAACAGTTTTTGGGTATTAGTTCTTCATTACTTTTAACTTTAAGTTAAACCAGTGCTTGAAGTGGGGGAAAAGAGGAAGCGGGTTGATTTGTGAAATTTTTAAAGCTGGGTATTATATTTCTTGTTTCACACGTGTATACTGTATTTATTGGTATAAAAATGTTTAGAATGTAAAAATTAGAAACTTATTAGGTTATATATTGTTAGATTAAGCAAGATAATGAAAAAAAAACAATAAAAATTCTTCCCGAGGCACACTCGCGAGCAGCTCGTGCGTTACGTAATTCGATACGGTAACGTGAGCTGCACGTTCCCGAGTGATTTGCAACTTGTGTGGCGGGATGATTAGTTAGACACGGTTCAAAGGGGAGATAAAACAATTAAATTAAGTATAAACAGGTGTATACTGTTACGAGTTATAGTATGGAAACTCTGATGGTTATTTTGTAGTTACGAAATCATTCACAGCGACTGAGCCAATAACAAGAAGATTCATTAGCTTCATCCCTATACTACTTTGACTCATTTCTACCTCGCTCTAACACGACATTTTGAGAAAAAAAAATATAGTTTCTATCCCCAGTCCCTTGCCACTGTACGTATTTATTTCATTGTCTATTGAATCTTTCCCTTTTGAAAAGTTTACAGTCTACTAAAAGGTAGCGAGATGATTTAAGGCTCTCCCACCCCACTTTAGTATTTTTTAATGGTTAATGATTAATAACTATCTTTTAAGTCTGAAAAGCAGAGGGTACAGACGCATTCGTTATGGTGAAATGAAAGGTATGTAACATCCAGTGTTATCGGATTTCTTATATGGATATTGGCTGAAATACTTATATTTTTTAAAAAACTCCAGTAATATATATATCTATATATATAGCTATTATTCCGTTAAAGCGAACTACCGTAAGATTGAGTGAATGATACTTTCTTGTTTTATTTTTCAATTTTACATAAAGGAGCACACTAACAAATGTAACAGTGTATTATAGTGTAAAGTATACATCATTCAGTTCAGTACTGATATATTGGGAATTTGTTAGCGATGTTTTCATGGTGTACACTTCAGGACTAAGTGCAGGTAAATAAATGTTAACTATAAAATGCAATAAACATATTAACTAACAGTCTGTAATTCTGTTATCCTAATTATTGATATTCAATGTCGCGTTCGCATCGACCACCTAAGGGAATTATTTTGAGGTATTTGTAACTCTGACTACATAAATTCACAGACAAAACTACAGGGGCACTCAGCTACCTCCACCACGCAGAGATGATCATATTTTGCTCTCAAAAATTATGAAAATGTGTCCGTATGTCCGTCCTTATCAACGGACACGGACCATTTTTGGTACGGCAATGAGGAATAATATTCTACATATATCCACCAAGTTTCAACAAAATCCGATCATTTTTGATTGAGTTATAGAGCAAATATAGTGTGAAAAATCGGTCTCCATGTTAACAGATAGGGATTTTTTGGATTTTCGTGACCTTGTTATAACCTTAACCCTCCCAAACTAATTACTTCTAAGTTAGGTCATAGTCCAAATGTATACCATTTTTCGTCCAAATTCATTCTGTCGTTTTCGAGAAATCCGGCTGACAAACACAGAGGGATGAAAACATAACCGGCGGAGGTAAAAATACTTAGTGAAAAAAAATCAGATTTTTTATATGAAAATTATTTGAAATTGTTATTAAAATCTCACTAATGATCGTGAAGATACTCTTATAACGTTAAACGTTATAGTAATATATGGTGGTTAAAAAGTCTGTCATTTTGACCGATCCCGTATTTAGAGGGTTTAATTAGGGGATTTGTACAACAATGAAGTACATGGTTCGCACTTCATAGTTATGGTTTGAAAATGCCTTCGTAAACGCTCTTTCCGCTCGTTCTCGACATAGGCCAGAATTTACTGTCGATATCAACCGTTATTCGTTGACGTTGAGACAACGAGTCACTTTTTGATATAGTAAATAGAATCAGGTAACAAGAATTTATAATGCAGGCGACAAAGGGTAGCACTGTACGTGGGTAGCACTGTAGTAAATATTAATGTAACACAATAGTAAAATATAGACTTATAAAAGTATTTGAAACTTGTACAGTTATAGATTTATACACAAAGTTTAGAGTTTTAACTAAACTCATAATAAGTTCTCGAAACAAATATTATTTTTATGTTTATACTAACTTTTAGAGGCACAAAATAGACACATTTACTACTCTACTACTGTTTACAACCAACGACGTTAAAAAAAAAAGGCTTAGTATATTCTAAAACTCATTATTGATACATTTAATGCCTTAATGCAACAGTTAAATAGACATATCTGAAATATCTCGACTTTCAATAAATAAAAGGATCTGATGTTTTTGAAAAATTAAGGATAAAAATTTATCGAGTACAAACGACAAAGTTCTTATCAAAGGAGTCACTTTTTTATACTTGAGTAAGGAAACATATGTTAATGCAATGATAAGCAGAGAAACAGCGATTTATAAGCCTAAAGAAGTGATTGTTTATGGCAGAACATACTAGATATTTCGACAGGACATTAGTCTGTATTTTTTCATACCAGAAACAAATTCTTGACCAATCGACAGTGTAATGCTGTCACGAATGGGCATACGGTTGAAAGATATAAAGTCTTTTCGAATATAAATGCTTATATAGCGAGATTTTACCCACATATACTAAAGATAGAATATTAGTTTATGATGAGAAGTGAGTTTCATATAAGAAAATTATAGAACACTGATTTGTAACTGATGATTTTTATATAATTTATGACATATCTATAAAATGTAAATGAAAGATAATTCATGTTATGGTAACAGTTTCAAAATCCACGCGAGGAAATATCTGTTTTGAAATGGTCGAAGAATAATCACTTTATTTATAACTAAAGGTTCTTTTACGATTATGGTTGTTAACTCTTTTTTAGGTATTGATCAATAGTGAAAAATGTGTTTCATGCTTTATTAAACTAATAAGTTTATATAGTACAGTGTTCATAAAGCCAAGTTTTTGTACTGATTTTTAGGTGAAAAAGATAATACATGTTACTGTAACATTGTTTGAAAAATCTATGTTAGTTTTGAAAAATTACATTTTTTGAGTCTGATACATCAAATAACAAATATAACATGTGATAGAAGCTTGTTAATATCTAAATAAAAATGAGACTGTTTGTTGTAGACTAAACTTGTGAACGAGTTTATCAACACTACTTAGAAACAACTAATCTGTTACCAATCGAATACATAATTCGTTGTATTGTATAATGAAATCTCATACATTTCATACTTTTAAACATTATTGTTTCATGAAATCTCATACATTTCACATGTTTAAGTAAATATCTAAATATCATAACTTAGAATTGAATAGATCTTACATTTTTCAAAATTATTCTAAACCGACTGACACAGTCTGAACATCTGACCGTTTGCTGTACGTCGAGCACAGTATGCAATAATTATACGCTAACTGAAATGTCCCGTCAAGTATTAAGAAATAGAATATCATAAATACACATTTAGTCTTTTGTATCATTATATAAAGTGAAAGAACTATGTTTACTGACTTTTAAATTTCAATGACATACAAAAACTCTAGTTAAAGTATGGTGAACATTAAATTGATGTAGAAAGTATATGATTATGTAGAGTTTGAACCGTTTATTTTCAATATTAAGTATAATGTAAATACATAGACAGCGACAATGTATTATTATTATTGACTTTTATTTTAATAAGTTTTGTTTCTTCTTTTTAGCCATTGATGACGTGTTGAGAAAATGAGCTCGTCATTCTCCCTTTATAGAAACACTGTCTGTATGGGTGTGATCACGTGATAATATTTGTATTTCCTAACAGTGAACGTTTGTCATCAGTTTCCATACAGAATATAGTATAATTGCTGTATCGTTCACTTTTGAAACTGAAACGGCAGTTGCACAATAGAAGATTGTCTAAAAGGAGCTATAAACACTTTAGAAATTTATTCTATACTTTCACAAGATTTATGAATTGTGTTTGCCAGTGATCAACTATCTGAACATGCAGAAAAACAATTGTACATCGTCAACTTGGATCAGGGTCATATATCTGGAAGCCACTGGGTCTGTATTTATATTGGTCGAGATGAGAAAGGATAATATTTTCATCCATTAGGACTGTCTACATATAATCTCGCCCCCAGTGGCACAGCGGTATGTCTGCGTACTTACAACGCTAGAAACCGGGTTTCGATACCCGTGGTGGGCAGAGCACAGATAGCCCATTGTGTAGCTTTGTGCTTAAATACAAACAAACCACATAATCTCAACATAAAAAAATCATCAAGAAGAACTGTCGAACGTAAACTTACAACAAAAATATACTGCGAGGACTATATTCGTCTCTGTGTGTGTGTGGGTGGACACTATTGTATATAATATGCTTATTATCGTTTTCGACATATGTCCAAGAAAGTTCAGTCCTCAAAGATTTATGAAAAAAGGTAAGTTGTGATCTCATTCAAATAACGGACAACAGCAGATTTATTAAGATCCTATGGACAGAAAGATTGTCATTAAAATAATGGTTTTAACATAATTGTTCTAGACATTAATGATGTAATCATATGTGAAAGTATAGTGTCCCCGTCTCCCCCTCCCTATTACCTGGCGACCCCTAATGAGGCCCCAAGAGGGGGTAACTAATACTATTGACGAGCTTATATCCTATCAGTTCAAAAACAGGGACAGTAAGGAAAGATAACTCTTGAATAGCTTTGCTTGAATATTAGAAAACAAACAAAAAACTGTCCCAGTTACGAATTATTTCTATAGTG